CAGCTTCATTGATTTCCACACTCTTCTTCCTCCACTTCCAACTTTTAAAAATATTCAGACATCATATATATCCAGCCATCTGTCAATATTCAGCATATATGTCTTTAAAATGAGAAGTCTTTTCTAAAACATGACCCCAATGCCATCATTACACTAAAAACAAAATGGGCCATAATTTTTTTTTAAAGGATCAAATATCCAGCTGGTTTCAAAGTCCCCTGATTGATCCATGGTATTTGTTTTTCATTGGTTTGTTTGAACACACATCAAAACAAACCCACCCACTTTTCATCGGAAAGGTCTCAGTGTAGACCTTGGTCCCTGCCCCCTCACCCCAGCCTCCTAGGTCCCAAATGTCTGGGGTGCATGCTCTTCATCTGTTTTCCATCCTCCTCATCCACTGGATTGTATCCTGATAGAGAGAGAGAGAGAGTCTCAAGGGAGTAAAAGAGCCAGTGTTGTTAGTCACACCTCCTGGGCCTAGCACAGTATCTGCTCCATAGTATGTGCTGACTCCATACAAATTCCTGAACGGCTAAATAAATGGTCTCCCAAGAACTAGCCTTCCACTCCTCCAAAGCCCATTCTAGAAAACTTTACACATCTAGTACCATGATGTGCTTGGAAGTGTGTTTCTCCAAGGGGCCAGGGCCCTTGTCATATCCAGATCCCAGAACCCAGCGCCTGACTGGCATGAGGTGTTCGCTGAGGGAGAGCTAAATGAAAGGAGCACTTTTCTCTCCGTGAGATTTGGGGCTCCAAGGCTTTCCTCTCTGCATCTCCTTTTTTTTCTCATCTCTATCTGAAGAATTTGGATGCAATGATTTCTAAGGTCCTTTTCAGGAATGGGGAACCCTCATTTACCATACGCTTGCTGCCCTCTGCTGGCAGGACTGGCTCAGGACCCTGAATCACTGAGGTTCAAAGCAAGAACTACAGGCCAGCAAATAGGGATGGGTGGACGCAGGGTCTGCACCTGGGATGGGAACTTGACCTTTGTTGCCTTGTTTGGGTTACACTAGAGCATAGTGGGGCCTCCCTCCACCCCTGCCTTCCACTCCTCCCATGTGGAGGCACTCATGTCGCAGACAAGCTTTAAAAGAACTGGTGCCCAGTCCCTACCCCGGGCCACGCATCTAATACCTGAGGAGTGGGGCCAAGTGCCCATGTGGATTAAAAGCCATCCAGCTGGTTCTGATGCGCAGGCGCACCCAGACCCACTAGGCCAAGGTGATGGTCACGTGTGAACCTTGAGTAGGAAGCTAGAAACACAGAAAGCCATCCAGAGGAAGAGTGGATGGAGACTTTGGTTTTATAATCAGCCTATCTTAACAACTTCCCTTGACAAACCCTGACAGCTTATATTTTTCACTGGGAACTTACACTATGAACCTGCTGGGAGCATGGCTTCTAGATTCGGTGTTGTTTCTTTTGTTTTCTTTTCTCTTTTTGCTTTTCTTTTTTTTTAATCACTCCTTCCTTCCTTCCTTCCTCCCTCCCTCCCTCCCTCCCTCCCTTCCTTTCTTCCTTCCTTTTCTTCTTTCTTGCACATTCTTGCATTTGTTAAGACTCCTTTGCTTGCAGATAACAGAATTCAGATGCTAACTTTGGCCACAAGTGAGAATTTGCTAGAAGAGCGCTGAGATGCTACCCCCAGGCTACTTGCCAAAAAGCAGATGGCCAAGGGGAACCAGAGCTCGGGAAGACACCAGGAAAAAGTCTCCCTGTCCTTTGCCTCTGCCTCCCTCCACTTGTCTAATTTGTGTCTTCTTTCCCAGGCCAACTGTTGTTTTCTGTTCATTAATCCCCGAGGCAGAAGGTGGCCACCAACAGCTCATGCTCAACCCGTGTTCAACTTCTGCCTGCTACACAACGCTCCTTTTTCCCTTTCTCCTTGGCCAATCATAGTCTGCAAGCTGACTATATAATTTGTGAGCCCAAAGCAAAGTAGAAACGTGAGGGCCTCTCTTCAAAAAGCAGGAGGAAGTGCCACTAATGGTGCAGATAAACCTCTCCCTTTCTTCCAAAACACAGGCTCAAAGATAAAGTTATGCCAGTCGTGGTGGTGTCACATGCCCATAATTCCAATGGCTCAGGAGGCTGAGGCAGGAGGATTGTAAGTTCAAAACCAGCAACTTAGCAAGGCCCTAAGCAACTTAGTGAGACAGTCTCACTAAATAAAATATAAAAAGGGCTGGGGATGTGGCTCAGTAGTTAGGCGCCCCTGGGTTCAATTCCTGGTACCAAAAAGAAAAGATGAAGTTATTAGGACTCTAAGACAGCGCCCACAGAGCATCAGCCCCCAAGCACAGGGCCCTTCCCACTGCTCAGAGCTCATCTGGCAGCCCTGGTGGCCTGCAGTGGAAGTGGGAAGTGTGGTGTGAAGGTGCGAGATCCTAAGGAAGGAACAGTACCCAGAAATGAGATGAGAGCGCCCTGAGAAAACCAATCATTGTTATTTTTTTATCACAAAGTCTAATTCCTCACTTGTCTTCCAAATTCACAAACATACAGACCTGGGATTAAACTATAAGGATTCTGCAACTTGACTCAGGGGCATCAAGAACAGATGCACCATACTGAACAGCTATACCACCAAAGATTAGCTAAAACTTTTACCATGGACTTCGAGACTCCGTGCATCCTGGCCCTGCCCCTTCTGCCACCTTTGTCCCTTCTACCTTCTCTGCATTTCTAGCAGGTTCACAGGCATCAGTACTGCTACTGCCCCCAGGGAAATCACTGGGAGATTAAGTCACATGGTGGCTCCCAGGTTTTAAGTGGTTCCCCCCTGCAAGGGGAGCCAGGCCACCCGAACCTATCTATGGAAGCAGTGGTGGCAGAATGAACTTGTCCAGGAGGACTATCTCATGGTGCTCCGGGGAGGGGCGGGGACATAAGAAAGCCCCCCCTCCACCGTGGGGATCCTTCCTGGATTAGTGTTAGCTAATTGACCTACCAACCGACTCACTTGGCCCTGGGGAGTGTGGTGAGAGGCTGGGAGTGCCAGGGGAAGTCCTCCCTTGCAGAAATCAGGCCAGCAGTGAATAAACTGAGCAGTGAATAAACTTCCGGTGCCTCCACCCTGACCCACCCCACCCACTGGTGTGCCCACATCCTGCTCCACCCACCTGCAATATGTCCCCCCCCCCTTCAACTGTGGGTGAGAGTCAGGGAGTGATGCTAGGATCCCCCAATACCTGAACCCCCCCCAAATCTGAGTCGTTCCCAACTTGCCCTAATCTGCTGTGTGAAAATGGGGATCTCATTGATTTACTTTGGTTTCTCATCACGACCACTTGTAGTTCTTCGGTTTGGCTATGAGCATCCTTTCAACAGCTTCCCTAGTGAGTTCTTTTCTTACTGATTTATAAGAGTTCTCTGGGTTTTTGTTACTATTAAGATTTTATAAATGTTGCAAACATTTTTTTCTTCTTTACTATTTCATTATTTGTCTTCTAACTTTGGGATGTACCGATTTCCACCCAAGTGACAGCCTCTCTCACCCTCAGTTTTCTCATCTAAGAAATGGGAAAACAGCTTCCTCATTGGTCTGCTGGGAGGTTTGAAGGGGTAATTGATGTGCAGAACACAGTCAGCCACATCATCAGGTCTTAATAAACGCAACTTGCTGCTGTAATTTGGGAACAAAATCTATGTTACTTTCACCCAAGTCCAAGACTGTACCTGCTCATAATGTCCAGCACTGCGAAGTTCAGTGCAACAGAACATGTGGAGCGCGGGTCTGATGCCACCTGGATGGCATCTACTTCTCATCTTGTGGGTTTTTCACTTGAGTGTTTGCTAAGGTCGCAGCGGAACTCTGAAGTTCATGAAAAAGGCATAGTGCCGTGGGGCTCCAGTTAACACGACCTTCTTCCCTTGTCTCTACCCTGCATTAGAGGGCCCCTGAGTACCACAGCCTCCAGGAAGGCCTGCCCTATATGGACATGGTGATCGCAGAGACCCTGAGGATGTACCCACCGGCATTCAGGTATGTGTGCAACCCCCACCCTGCCCTGCACTCTGGGTCCCTTCAGCATCGCAGTTTGGAACCCTCACTGGTTCCAGCCTGTGACCAGCTGTGTTATCACATATGCTCTTGATGACAAAGTCTGAGTCCTGGGTTCCTTTGTCTCCCGTGGCACCAGGCACAATGCCCCAGATGTTTGGCCCATTCTGCTGTAGGTTAACCACCTTCTCGAAGCATCACCAGTCTTTCCTTAATGTAGTCTTCCTCCCCGACTCAAGCCAATCTCTTTGGCCTCCTGCCTTTGATGGAGTTCGCCACTGCCCCTGTCTAATCATTTATTCATTCAGCAACTGTTTATTAAGCATCTACTTTGCCAAGCACTGGGAAGTCAGCCTGGATACAAAGCAGATCAAAGTCCCTGCCCTTGGAGACAACATCATCCAGGGCTGGGGATGCTCCTCCCTGGTGTCCAACAGCTCCAACCCGTAACATCCTCCAAACCCCTAGACAAGACTTCCCAGCCAAGGACATCTGACTCACCTGTCGCCCCTCCTCCCCTGCCAGCACTTTTAGCAGTAATGGTACTTCATATTATATTCTCCGACACACTTTTACCACCCCATAACATGTCACTAACGTACAGTCAGCAACGCCAACCTGTAAGTGCCCTGGGAGTAGGAATCAAATCTGTTTCTTTCAATTTTCCCCAAAGGGGGCTCCTCTTGGAATAGGGCACTTAACCTTGGTCCACAGGCTCTCAACAGCAGCAAAACTGTGGCCAGGTTTCAGGTTATAGAAACAGAAGAAGCACAGGCAGTTAATTGTATCTCATGAATTCCAGTCAGCACTTCCATGAATCAACATACCACAGAGACCATATGGAGGTACCTTTTGCCATTTCTAAAGAGAAAATGTGGAAGATTTGAGGGTATCTCAAAGTGATATTTCAAACCAAAAGCATTACAAAGAGTGTGACTATAGATATTATGCAAGATGTTCAAGTTCAGAAGCAAATACGAAAACTTACAGTGGTGTGCATGCCAGGTGTCTTGGTATGAGAGGCCAGTGAGTCAGGGGTTCTGCCAACACCAGCATCAAGACCTGATTCCGTGGCTCTTTCTTAATTTTCTTGGGAGCCTCAAACAAACTGCTTTCCAATCTTTCCTCCCCTCCTCGCCTCCTGCCCTCTCCTCCTCCCTCCTCCTTCATGATTTATATCCAGCTTTCTTCCAAGGGGACTGTGGGCAGTGGTATGCACATTAAAATGAAGTTCAAAACAAAACAGTCAGTGATAAAACTGAATGAGTCTGCTTAAAAGGCCCTTACTGGGCTCAGAGATGGCTGCTAACTGGGGTCAGACCTCTGCGTGGTGGCTGAGGTTCCTGGCAGAGAGCGGAACCAGCTGAGTTGAACAGTTGTGCTCCCCAGTGGGAGGAAAGTTACAAACTGATTAAAGACACACTATTTCCTGGATCTAAACTCAATCAGGAATTCACCCCATGAGACCTCATGTAGGTGGCATGTTGAAGAACAAAGTGAACGGCCTCTAAAATAGAAAAATCAACCTGGACAGGTGTGGGGACACACAAATGCTATGGTCAGTTCTCTTGGCAACCCCTTAATAAAGAGTCACTTGGTACAGTCATTGCTCTGGGGACCAGGTTGCCCATGATCTCAATTGAATCAACATACCACAGAGACCATCTTGAGATACCTAGAGAATCTGGGTGCATTGACTAAAGTTCCCCTATAGAAGTGCACTGGGGGATCTTGGGAAAGCCCCACACTGGCTCTGGGCTTCTCTTTCCCATGACACCTGTGCTGCTGGCCCCACCCACAAAAACTTGAAGAGACTCCAGGAAAATAGATATGGAAGCATCTCTAGGCAGCTACAGCATGAGGGTTGTGGAGAGGGGACAAGGCGCTGGGCTTGGTCCAGGCCAGCTCTTTGGCAGCTCACCCCCCCAGCCTTCAACCCCCACCAGACAGCAGACACAAGGGGTGGGGCAGTGTGACATTTAGGGGGATATAGGGACCGTGAGCATTTTGTTTATTTTACTTTCTCCCAGAAATGCATGGTGACTTCTCCTGAGCACTGTCACAGCTTGACTCACCCACAGAAGAAACTCAGTGTAGAAAATGTGACAATTCTTGGTTAGTGATCTGAATGAATCCACTTGGGCACAGTACCACTCAGCTGACCACAGGCCTCTCCTGAGGCCTAGTCCAGCCAGGCAGGAGACCCAGCCACTGGACGGGCGGGCCCTACTAGCCAGCCTCCAGTGGTCAAAGCTGATTCTGGTAAAGATGAAAAAGCACAGGTGCCAGGGGATGGCCTGTTTTGTCCCCTTTGGGACAGGTTACAACTTCACAAACCCCTGCCCTGGTCTTAGTGTGGGTGTTTGCTACCATCCCAGGCACATGCTCCTGCATGAGTAGGTCAGGATCTGAATAGGGTCTCCTTCCTGGCATCTTAACTATTCCAGTCTTAAAGGGAAACTTAAAACAGAGGAGAACAGAGAGAGGAGCCTCACATTTGCTCTTGGTTTCTTTTATGAGCAGGAGCAGGGTATTATCATAACTAATGTAATAATTATATTTCCTCTAAGGCATTTAGGTAAGCTTCAGGGCAGAGTGGTGCACACCTATAATCCCAGGTGGCTGAGGCAGGAGGATTCCAAGTTCTAGGCCAGTCTTGGTAACTCACAGAGACCCTCTCTCAAAAAATAAAAAGGGCTGGGCGGGGGAGGGGGGCAGATTTGAAGTAAAAGCCAGCATAGAATTATTTTTAATTTTTGAAGTGATTATATTACCAAAATAACTTGCTTATACTTTAAAAAAAATAAAGAAGGATCCAAAGGAATCCTTCTTTGCCCGAGTCCAAGTCCCTTGAGAAGACACTAGTACAAGTTGAGGCATTCTTCCAGAAATGTTAGATTTGTATGCAAACTTCTATAGTCTACCCTAAAAATAAAACAAATGGCATTATGCCATTGCCATCAAGCATGACAACCTGACCAGACCTCCTCCTCTCTAGCAGAAGCAGTTATCTGCAGAGAGGCAGACAATGGAGAACCCCAATTTCCTTTAGGTAAACCTCACAGGACTTATAGAGCAATCTAACTCACAGAGACAGAAAGCACAAAGGTGGGTTCCAGGGACTGGGGGAGGGGAAGGAGGTCAGTAGTTAATGGGGACAGTCTCCCTTGGGGAATATGAAAAGACCTGGCAGTAATGGTGGTTCAATAGGCATGGACTTAATGCCACAGAACTGTGCACTTAAAAATGGTCCAAATAGTAGGTTTTATGCTATTTATATTTTACAATAAAATAATAAATAAATGAGTAAATCCAACCTCACCAGGGTCAGTTCTGGCATTAGAATATTCCAGAATTACCATAGCAGCTGACACATCAGCTTTGAGGCTGTTATAGTCAGACACCCTCATGTTCTGTTTTAGGGATTAATATGCAGGAGATTTCCCATTGATTCTGGGCACTTGGTGGGGGGAGTCGGGGTGGTACAGAAATGAGCAGGGGTAGGCTGGCAGGGGGGAGGGATGTGCATCCCTGAGATTCCAGTCAGGTTGGGGAAACAGGCCTCCTCTACAAGGGAAAGTGTGTTGGAGACCAAGCCTTGACATGGGCCGTGACTGGCACCCCCACCAGCCCTCCTGTTAGGAAACATCGAAGGTGAGGAAGTGGGCTTTGTTTCCTTACTGTGGTCCATGCCTAGTAAGGGCACAGTGATGCACACCTATAATCCCAAGGTCTCTGTAAGTTACTGAGACTGGACTAGAACTTGGAATCCTCCTGCCTAGTAAGCGGGCTGATGTTGAAATCAGAAAGAAACTTCTAACACCATATTCCCAGAAGTAGCTGGGAAGAGGGTGGGCAGGTGGGAAAGGGCAATGTGATACAGAGAAGCTAGTGGCTGTGACTCTGCCCTTGTCCTGAAGGTTTTGTCCCGAAGGTTTTGTCCCATCTTTTAAAATTCCAAACAAAGTATGGCCAGAACTCTTAGAAGCTTGTGCTAAACCAAAAATCTAGAATTCTACATTTTTGTAATCCAAACTGAGGAAATGAGAGGTTCTCTGGCTTTCCATCTCAACTTTTGTTTCTGGGAAATTCTAGATCTAAAGTGTAACAGCATATTCATTTAACAGGACCTCAGAATGAGGGCATTATATAGGGTTTAAAGTCAGGCTCCAGAGGTTTAAGGTGAAAATGATTGAAATGGGGCTGAGTCTAGGACACAACTGTTTAGGGGCTGGTAGCTATAGGGAGGCGAGGGTATTAAAGGGAGGCTTGATAGTTGACACTCCTCTGTTTTATCTCAAGTGAGCAATCTATTGTTCTGATAGGAAAGCTGCTTGCCCAGATAAATTAGTTTGCTTTACTTTCTAAAGCAAACAGTGGAGTTATTTCTTGGTGTAGTGGCTTATCTTCCTGGGCAAGAATTTTCTGGAAGAGGCAGAAAGACACTTTGACCCAAGGGGCGGCCATGCTCAGCCCCAAGAGTAAAGTTATGCTGCTCCGAAACTGGAGGCTCCATTCTCAGGTGCATCTCTGTCCATGTCGAGCAAGGCAAAGCTTCCATGAGCGCTGTGCTGGGTTGTGCAGCTGCTCCCGTGTTCTTGGGTAACGGGAGCTCGGTGTAAGAAACCAAGGTGAGATAAGGACACTAGAACTCAACCTACTAGAACTCTTCAGGACCCAAAAAGGGCCTTCACAGGCAGGCTCATGGAGGAGGCCCGGGGTCACCTTGGGGTATGGTCTCACTAGCCCCAGGAGCTGTCCATAGACCCTCAGCTCAGCCCTCGATGTAGCCTGAGGTGGCCCTAGTGCCCCAACCTACTTCAGGCCTTAATCCCAAATGCTCCCCAAAAGGCTCTCACTGCACCCCAAACTGTTCCCAGTTTTCCTGGGTTCTGATCTCCTGCTTTCTTCTCCTATTCATGGCTCCATTACACCCACTGAACTTGACATTCAGCTACAAGCTTCACTGGCCACTAACTTTGACTCCAGTCTCCACTCTGGGGCCACACAGCCTCAGACACCTGGGACCCCTGCCCAGCTCCAGGGCTCTCTCCTAACAAGATTGACAAGCCACTCTGGTTGCTGCCAGAAAACTGGATTGGAAGAAAAAAGACCAAGCTCTCAATCAAGGAGGAGGAGGCAGTAAAATGAGATCGTCCACTAAGTAAGCCTCACGGCAAATGTGCAGAAAGGGCAGAGTCCAGAACCGCTGGAGGAGAGCCAGGAGGGGAGGTGGGCGACTGTTGCAGCGGTTCTGCTCACCTTAACTTTGAGGAGCCTGTGGAACAGCCCAGGAGAGAGGTCTAATCTGCAGCTGGAAATAGGAACCTGCGGTTTGGTTTGGGGCTGGGGAAGGGGCCTCAGGATGTAGCGGAAGTCATGAGTGTGGGTGACATTATAGGAGACACCAGGTATAAGAGGTTGAAGAATCAGAGGAACCTACTAAAGAGAGGAGGGGAAGGAACTCCTGTCACGCAGGAGGAAAACCAAAGCAAGTGATGTCATTAAAAATCAAGTAGTAGATGGAAAGAGGAAGACAAGGAAGAGGAGGAGGAGGAGGAGGAAGAGGAGGAGGAGGATAATGAGAAGGAGAAGGGGAGGAAGAGGAGGAGGAGGAGGAAGAAGAGGAAGAGGAGGAGGAGAATGAGAAGGAGAAGGAGAAGGGGAGGAAGAGGAGGAGGAGACTGAGAAGGAGAAGGGGAGGAAGAGGAGGAAAAGGAAGCAGCTTATTTTTCAACTGCTCTGTGAGTTCAAAATTATTTCCAAAGAAAAACCAAAACAAAGAAAGGTGCAAGGAAAGAGTGGCCCAGGAGGCCGAGGAAGAGGAAGAGTACCCACCAAATGGTCTTTGGCAATCTCTGCATGAGGACCGTCTGCTGGCGGGGGGAGGAGACAGAAGCTGGAGAGTAGGCTAGGCAGTGACACGGAGGGGACAAAGCAAGGGGTGAGCGAGGACAGTCTGAAGAAGCTGAGGGAGAAGACAAGAAGGGGAGGAACTGAAAAACTACCCTCCACGCCTCTGCCAGGAACAAGCCCTTGGAAGGCATCTTTGCACCCCCAACCCCAAGCACACAGAGGGCGCTCCACTGCTTCCTTGATGGATAGACAGAGGGGTGGCT